AAACTTCTTTTGTATGCAAAGACTAGGATTGTTCTCTCGAATTCCCATAGCTTCGGCTAGGTGTAAAAGACGGTTTCTGATTCCATTCGAAAGACTCGATGGAATACGATAGATAACTTTGAAAGCACTATTTTTGTCCACTTGGTGACCGCTATCAATCAAATGAGCCAAAATAGAACTTCGTATGGATTTTATTTGACCTTTTCCGAACCATGAAGGAAGATGCTCATTAATGCGTTTGTCCAGCTGTCAGAAACCGTCTTTTACACCTAGCCGAAGCTATGGGAATTCGAGAGAACAATCCTAGTCTTTGCATACAAAAGAAGTTTGTTCTACCTTTGTCTCTCCCTTGGCCTAGGTGAACTGTATTCAAAACCCTCCCACCCTCTCTTATTTTCCACCTCCTTTGTACTTTTATATTATTTATTTAAACTCTGATTATCGTTCCACTTCACCTTTTAAGATTTGACCCAATTTATTTATACACTCATATACATATACTATCTTTGTTATTCTTATCACCTGCATAAACCTTATTATCAATATTTTGTCATCATTATAATCATCGTTATTAACTACGTTCAAAACATTTACCACATTATTATTATTAAGACTATTAAGATTATTAATTGATTCCCAAAATCACCGTCATTGGTTAAAATTTTATATATAAATCTATGTAAATTAGAGTAAAGCCTGAAGAAGATCTAATTGAAAACAATATTGTTCGCTTATATGTCTTGTTCTAATGTTATTTATTGATTCATTATAAGAAGTGGTTAGTTATTCAAACAAATTTTATTCTTGCTGGATCTGTAACATAGTTGTGGCCTTATGATTGTTGATGAGAAATAAAATAAAGCCGTAGTTTAATAAGTGTTAATGTATTTAAGGGTAAATCATTTTAAGACATAATGCTCTACTCAGAAGTAAAGTTTGTGTGATTCTGGTTGGTTTTGAAGCAGATTTCACTACACAACCAAAACGGTTATAAAACGATTAAAAAAGGGGAAGGGCTGGAAATCCCTGGGGTCCCATATCGGGACATTTTGGCATAGCTCATCTGTGATTACTTCCGGAAATGAACCCACGATCTTTAGCAACGAGGTGTGGGCGTTCAGCATCCATTAACTGGGTTGAAATTTGGTGCCCTGTGTATTCTTAATTCAGTCAGTTTACAACATATGTATATCACTTTCTGATATTACTGATAAGTTACACCTAGCTTCCAGACGAATTTCTCAGATTTACATCGTGCAGAGAGTAACATTTCAAGTATTAAGATATACACTAATTGATGAAATTGGATGACGGTTTAGACACGCTCTGAATTAACAGAGGTTAGGATTCATATGCTGTCACATCCCAGCTGAGTGGATGATTAGATCGTTTTGTAATCTGAAAATGGTGGGTTTTATCTATTCTAGGATCATAAATGGGATCCTCTGAAGAGTCTTAATTTAGGACGAATCAGCTATCTACTTTCGTGTGATATTTAATGGTTCTCTGAATGATGTCTTTTAGTGTCTAAATCAACCTTTGGATTAATCTCTTATTTCAAAATCCTTATTCAAACTGATTCCGTTTATGGAATGAAATGCTACAACTACGCGTTTTTTATATTGGAATTCTGAGTTAAATGTTTCTTTTTCACAAAAACAGAATGAGGCCATTCGTTACTTCGTGTGACATTAGGTGGAGGTTTCAATTCAGCCCCTCAGCTTCATGCTTGCAACCTAGAAGATGCTCGTCATCATAACTATGAATTTTGTTATCTGATATCGCTTTTCATTCACCTAACAAACAAGACTCTTCTTATTTTATTCCAATCAGAAGTAAATGTTATTGCCAATCAACAATTTCTATATATGGTTTGCAACAGCTATCATACTTAAAGGTTTTCTTGTTTTAGATGAAGTAGGTCTTATAAGAGATTCCGATAGTAAGCTGATTGCTTTCGGCTTCTCTGTTATTATGATAAAGTGTTAGACTTTGTGAAGTTGGCATAATTTCCCATTCAGTCATCTAACTTGCTATTGAAACTATCACTAGGTTTCAATTGTCAAATAGTAGGGTATTCTTGTATTTTAAATATTAAATATGATATAAGCAAATGTACTTGTATCAAAGATATAGGCTATTCTAACAGTCTAATAAGCAACGCTGTAGTGGTTAAGATAATATATAATACTAAAGAATATGCATTTGAACATCAAAACTAACCCCACTTTTTCACATACTTTTGTAAAAATTGCAATGTGTGATTATCATTATCAATAATTTGTATTCTGATAGTGTTTGATAAATTTGGTTCGTTCAGTCTTCCGTCTTTTTTAGTCTACAATCTGACTTCAAAGTCATTGGAAGTTATTTCTTAACTTTTATTTGAAGTTTTTACTTTAAATGCTACCGATAAGGTCAAACATTTTGATTTGGAATTAATGTAGGTGTATCTGCTTGACTGTAATTTTCAAATGCTGGTCAAAAAAGCATTCAATGATTGATTTTACTCCACAGGCATCTTTGTTTAACCAATTTACTTATACTAAGCTTACACAATCTTTGTTTTGATACACCCTATTAGTTTCAAGTGAATTCCATTCAAACAGGCGGAAGTAGACTCATTTGTAATACATTTCTGTGGATTTTAGAACTTGAATCATAGCTATCCCGTTGCCGCAGCCACTATGCACACAAGCAACTTCTTCACATTTCCGGAAACAAAATGAGTCAATTTAGATAAAGCAAACTTATGGGTTCGTTGTACTTCTACAACTGATGCCTCAGAAATGGTGGATACGACAATGAAGGTACAGGTTTTCTGATGTCACTAGAAGATATTACGAAAGTTCAGAGGATTAGTGTAAAATATTAGGAAAGCGAATAAAGTTACTCTATGTTCACATGGTTTTTCAATAGGAAATAAAACGTCTGAAAGAGTTTCGCCTTTAATTGTAAAAACATTGTGTTACAGTAATCAGGGTGTATTCTTTAACTGGAAAACTTGACTACTGTTTTTGATAGGAGACTATACTGTCTTATATTATTGATTTCAGTCGACATACGTTTCAAAAGTATCACTCAGCTGGCTTCATGATTTAAATCAACCAGTTATGAAAGACAAAAGGTATTTGTTTATTGTTATTAAACACAGTAAAATTAGGTTTCACTGAAAATCATAGCTACTTAACTCAAATGAAGTTATCTTTCAAACTAACTATAAGAAGAAAAACTTTTAATATTACGGCTAGTGGAATTAATTTGTTTTTATAAGGTTTGCCTAATAATCCAAACTAAGTCGTAAGTAAACTCGATGTGTTTTAGGTTTACCATCTTTGGAGTCAGTATTCCATTTTATTCACGCACCTAACTTACATAAAACTTTATTAGTTGATTTAGAGGCAGAAAGGAGAAAATATTGATTAGTTTCCCCTAAATGAAACACAGATTCTGTGCTCTAATTAGCAAGGTCAACAGTTACTTATGTTATTCCGTTATACAACTGTTCCTTCAAGGTTACAGGTACGCCTTGCTGACTGCTGATCGCCTCTAACCATTCAATAAAATCATTTCAGAGTGCACCATGATGACTATCCACTTAGCGTAGTGGCCACATTGCAAACTTGACTGATAGAATTGAGTCTGCACCAAGCAAAAGACTAGACGCATGACACCAATTACTAGTTTTCAGTTGAAGAAATTAGTCCTTCTTAAAGTTGTGATTGAAATTTGTGTTTTTTAAAATTGACAAACGATTTAAACGTCAGACGAGACTTCCTTACAAAGAAAGTTATGCTTAAGGTGATATCCAGATTCGATTAAATGAAGAGCAGTAAAACTACTATATCATTTTTGTAATTATGTTAACCAACTTAAATTCCTAAATTTTATTGTATAACACTGTCTTCAGCCACGAAATGCATCACTTTCAAATTTGTTATTTTTTTCTTCACCAAACCGTTATTTAAACTGTTATTCTTTTATGCTTGGTGCTCATCTTATGTTGTAATTACTCTGGTTTAATAATAGGTGATGAATTAATAAACGATTATTTGTGGATAGAACGGTCGTATAATTTGTAAAATGTCAAATACTTGGAAAAACTTTTTTCCCCTACATTTATGATAATATAATTAGATTGGAATGCATTTGTCCATTTTATAGAATTATTATTACTATTTAGGTCATAATCATTTATAAACTTCAAACATGATTTATTTAATTTTTTGTATTATGCATAATTATTTGCAATCTGATTACAAATATATAATAAATAGATCATATAAACTCATATATTTTGTCGTTAAAATTCAGTTTTTTAAGTTCTTTGAATGTGAAAAGAAAGAAATACGCCCCAGACGTTCAACGTATATTTCATTGCTTAAGATAATTGATTGATTAAAACAACTACGAAATAAAAAGGTTTAGAAATGCGATCACAATAACATAAACAACAAAAGCAGCTACAGTCAAGCATTCAATGTCATGCATTTCTACACTCAACATGGTGCTTCTCATTTGCATTGGAAATAATCCAGTGTATCATATATATATATATATATATATATATAAGTATGCATATATAGTTAAAGTAAATTACAAGCTGATCATATTTGACCGATGATAGTGAAATTCACTTTCTATTCTATTCTTTAAATTTCTATTGGATACTATGAAGTAGACGAAATCAATTTTTGAAAATTTTTATCTATAAAGCACATTACTTATAAAAAGAGGAACAGATGATGAAAAATGTTTGAATAGGATCAGAAACAATTATTGTTTCGCCTTTGGTACTTACTCTCAAATTTTGAGTCGTATACTAATGGTGAGAAAGTTGGGTTAGATTAGAGGAAAAAGTTAAAACATTCAATTCTCTCAGAAAAATAAAATTGATAATAGAAACAAGATTATTTCTGTTCATTGTTCAATTATTAACTGATCAAAATGAATATACATGTTTATCCCAAAGTTCTTTTTCCACGTACAAATTACTTCAGATCATCACCAACACAATTATCACAAAGGTCAATATTCTCTTCAACAATGACCACAGATCCACAAACAACTTTGGAAATCGTAGACAGGACTAAAAGTGACACAGTTAAAGAAGACGACACCTTATCGGAATTTTCAAAAGCCAGTAATACTGAAGTGCTTTTTAAGGATAATCTACCATCTTCACTGTCACAAAATTCAGTTGATACTCAACCAATAAATGAGTACGATAGTCAATCATATAAACCACAAGAAACTGGAACACCGATGGGTAAGTAGTATCTCTTAAAAGTAATCTAAAATTTCGTGATATAAGGCTAATTTTCTATAAATTTTGTCTAACAGTATCAATCATTGTTTCTCCCTTCGTCTTCCCTAACGGGTTGAAATGAATATGTGAAAAAAATATTTTGAATTATTGATCACATAGTCTGCTACACTAGAGGTATGTTAAGAACTTGTATTGAGGTACACTGCTATTTAGAGACGTCTTTCAAAAGTTGTCTTCTGAAACTTGTCATTATATTTTAGACACTTTGTGATCAATCAGAAGTCGAGCACGTTACTAAGCAAACAAAAATGTCTGATTACCTAGTTAACAAGGGGCACGAATCATTTAATTCATAGCTACGAATTCAGAATATATATTGCTCATTTTTAGTAATCTTAAGACTCAGAGTGAGAACCAATGACCTCTTTTCTAAATCTCCGTATTTTCTTCTTACTCTTTATTTCGATAAATCATAAAGTATCATTTGAAAATTCATGAATCCTTTGAACCTGTAACGCAAACACAAATGTAGACTATTTGAACTGAATATTTTTTATGCTGCTTGAAATTTAATTCTGGGTTAAAATGACTTGAATTTTGTTCCATAAATGTATAAATGCTAAAATGGTCTTAAGTGCTTAAAAACCGCTACTTTTTTACCTTTTGTGTTCCGCGCACATTAATTCGTCGTTGGGCTATAACGAAATCCGGTTTAAAAAGTTTCTTGCATCAGTGAACACTTCACTTTATCAAAATCATAAACAAGGTTAGCGAAATATACAGAATAACAAATAAATTAAAGAATATATAAAGCCGATTATAAAAGGCTCAAACGTTAGTTGATCAGATGACAAGAAATGTCTCGTCTACTTATTTGTCACGGAAAGTGACTTGTAGATTAGTGATCTCATCTTGATTTTCAGTGAAGAGCATACTTTATTTTTTATATACTAATTATTTTCAACTTAATAGCTGAAGTGTTGAGTAAATTTTATGATGGGATGGACTGTGGGGATACGCATTATTGATCCACAAACGATATACTCATTACGCTACATAAATGTATTATTCAATTCTATTATAACACATAGCTATAATAATTAACAATATAAGATCAAAAGAAGTTTAGTGAGAAGTATTTTCTTTTTATTGTTACTTCATATGAAGAATTATACTGATTGATTACTCCAGCAAATTCGTAGGCCAACAATGAACTATTTCGATTAAGAGGATTTCTAATGAATTAAATTTATATGTTTCTCAAAGCGGGGTGTGATGTTTGCATAACTTGATGTGTATTGGTATGGAAAATTAAAAATCTATTATTGGGAGATTTTGAATTTATGTATACTTTCTCTTCTGTAATTAGGTCAGTTTTATACACTCGTTTTTACAATATGCACAGTTTTGCGTAGAGAAGCTTGCAGCAAAACCTCTTTTTGGGTTATACTAAATGCCAAAAAGTTAAGGGGCAAAAAGTTCTGTACAAATCACTAAGTGATAAACGGAATTAGAGATTTAATCAGCAAGATGATTACGAAAATTAATAAACATTTGGATTTGTTCCACTCTCACTGAAAGGAGAAACACCAGAATTACATCTGTTTCTCTATAGAACGTATATATATATGTATTTATACGCATATCCTTCTATGGTAACAGGTTAAATACCGTCCAGAAATATGAGGCTATTAGCTCTTTTCATGAATTTCAACAAAATATTAATAATACTTAGTACATCCGCTAAATTGCTGCAACAAATTTTGAGCATTCTGTTCACAAATCTGCTTGCAACAGACATTCACAGAAGTTACAGGAGTCTAAAAGTAAAAAATTGAATCAATTTGTCAAAATATTAATTTAGTGCTTTCATGTAGAGGGAGGAGAAAAGGGATAAAAAGAGGTGAAGAAATATTATTAAGTAAACAATCTTCGGTTTTAAAATTGAATTGCCAATGCATTAGGTTCTCAACCTTCATTCTTTGCTGGTTAGCTTGCACTAAATATACCATCTATACTACCATGAGATGCCTACTTTTAATATTTTGCCTGGATAAGATTCATCAAACTGAATTTATGCAAGTTATGTGGGTCAGAATGCGCACAGATTACCTTATGAATCACCTTTATTCAGTACAATTTCTGTGACTGTAAGAGCTTAATCAGTAGTTTATCATTTTCATACAGATTTTTCCGGTCATTATAACCGTAAAAGCAAATGAAAATCACTGACTGACTGAAAATTAACGACTTGTGAATATTTTAGTCATCATGGCTCACTTAATAGGTTAGTTGCAGTCATCTTGCCGCGTACTGGCTTTGCTTTGAAATGAAATAACATTTTCTATATTGTATTTTAGATTTATGAATCTCTGTTGTTTGTTATTCTCCTTACTTCACAGAAGAGATAAGAAGGATAAAATAATTGCTTCGAGGTACTGTTTTAAGGTGATCGTAGATAGAGTGAATCTGGTTCAAGTCTTGAGTTATGCTTATTAGGGTTGTGGCAAACTAAACTGAATAGTGGTAGAATACAGTGTTTGGTGCAAAAAGTGAAGCATGCAAAAAAAATAAGACATTTAAAATTATTATGTTGGATTAAATGTCATTGATTATCAGGTAAAGTGGAGGGAGGATTGTCATTTTAGTTACAGTATCAAGAAGTGGCTATTTTCATATTGTGAATTTCTCAGACTAAAAGACAAATATTCTGCTTAAAACAATGTTATAATAAAAATGTCTAATATTTTTAGTTTTCTTTAGCTTTATTTGATTGAAACCACTTCTTCTGAATGACTACATATATGCATTTTGGTTAAGAATAAATCATAATTAACGCATACGTCTAAGTAGAAAGTGCGCATTCGACGTAAACGTATACTGACAAATACCTTAAATTAAAAATGCCTTAATGTCTATGCCAAAACATACTGCATGTTTATATTTCACTGACTATTTGACTGATTATTAGCTGTGCAAGCTACAAAATTGTAAACGTCTTTCAAATTGTGCAATTTTAAAAATTCTAATGACGTGTTATTGCGATGTTTTCGTCAATATTTTATTTAAATTCTATTCAATGCCAGTTGAAAGCAATAATTTGCAGTTTAAAAATGCCAGAATGTAATTATGGAGGTTATATTTTCATGCTTCATTCTTTTCAAAGATTCTGAAATCCAAGGATTAAGTTACTAAATCTGAAAACGGTAAATGTCACTACTTAATGTAGGAGTTACTTGTAACGTGACCATATTTTAAAGTCTGCTGAAATTGTTTGTGTAAGTAAACAGTACTATTTTTGTCGGTACCTGGTACTAAGGAATACAATGTGTTGATGGCCTTGAACACTATAGTTAGTGCAAAGTTTTTCGTTTCCAAGTCATCATCAGCCGATTATTATATTTGATGAGTGTGACTGGACAGCAAATGCAAAACTATTCTGTATTAAAGTGAATATATATAAAACTGGGATTTGCATACAAGTGAAAGTAATTTCCCACCTAATAACCTTAAGTATATTATAGAACTCTTTTATTGGAAAGACTGTATATCACTGTGTCTTCCAGAATAACTGGATCAAGACCATAATAGATTCGAATTTAATTCCCGATTTACAGCTGGTACAGTTCAAGACGAAATTCCGTCACAACCTCTTTTGGGAGTGGAAATTATTTATGTCACAACATGTGGTCTGCTTGATGGCAAGCGTAGATGTGAAAGGTTATATACTACTGACTGGTTGACATGAGTAGCTGGACACCATTCACATCAACCTCGAACTGTGTAAACTGCAAACCAAGAATTAATTTGAAAATTGCTAATTTGATTTAACATATTACTAGCCCACTGAAGTAGCCAACGAGAATTAGAGTAGTTATGACTGGTTCGAGTCTCTGATCTGAGTCAAACCCAGTCTACGACCGATGACCCTGCTCCCAAGAGGGCGAGACAGCTATTCGTTGCTAAGGTCACTTCGACCTAGCTAGCAAACACTACTGGCTGATGTCACTGGTGTACAATTAGCATGCCAACCAGTCAGCAGCACACAGCATCATGTATGTAATACATTTGTGCAACTTAATGTATAGTACATGCTTTTAATAATGGACCAAATTTGGGAAATAAATTCCATTAATGACGTGGAGCCCACAAGTACCTACTAGTGATTATTTATTTGACATCTGGCTGAATTTCCGTTTCTTATCTGTGTTTTAAAAGGGTCAACCCATAATAAATTAACAAAGTAGCCAATTTTATTTGTATTCAAACATTGTTCATCACCAGAAAGTCGTGGAACGTAGCTTACTTTAATCAATTTTGTCTTATCTAAAAATTCAGTGGTCATTCTGTTGTGCAGTCTGACATAAATACCTCATGTCTTATATCTTAAGAAAAATTTTATTATATTTGTTTATGTCACTAGTAAATATTCAATTACCATGAAATTCAAATATTGACATACTGAACAAAACGACGGGTATCCCATTAGAGCTTTTGATACCAGTAAATATGATTGAGATTGGTAGCAGTTCACGTTGTCATCACTCTCACTTTGTTTAGTGTGCTAATTTGATTTGAATAGATTGAACGTAAAACTTGTACGCCGATAACTCTGAAAATAAAATAGTAAAGAAACTGAACATTTTCTGAGATGCTTATGAATGGTTTTGTCATGAATCCTAGATTTTTGATGTTATAGTTATGAATAAAAAGTCAGACATGAACATAACATAACACAAATATAATCCATACATTGAATTTATACTGATAGCGTGGAATCATTTCATGACCTGCTGTTACTACTATAATGGTTATTTCGCCGTTCTAAAGCAGGTGAGCTTAGTATTATATTAATTATATTATCTTATATAAAGAATTCAACAATAAGAAAAATGTACTAAACGGTAGGTTTGCTAGTAATATCTGGGAGAAGTCGGTTCATTTAAGGAAGTCTGAAAGATCTATGGAATATAGTGTCTCTATCAAGTTATTCTATGCTT